TAGTACGTAGTAGAATATGAAAGAAGGAAAATGTAAATAAGAAACAATGGGGCAATAAGGACAAATATTTCAAAGAAGAAAGAGGGGGGAAATGTAAAGAATAGAAGAGTACCGTTACAAACTGCTGTTAACAAAAAAGGATATATTACGTGTGTATGTGTGTAATGTTTGTTGTGTTTTGTTTTGGTCTAAAATAATAATTAAAAAAAATCAAATTGACTACATCATTGCTAAAAGGAGATGGAGAAGCAAAATTGTAGTATCAAAAACATGGTCACGTGCTGACTGTGGAACAAATAATGAACTCATCCAGGTGCAAACTGCAAGTTAAAGTAAAATGGAAGAACAAAGCCAACTAGTTCCCACAGTATGATCTTGAACATACAGCCACCATTGTGAAAGAGAACATCAGGAATCGCTCTGACATTCTGAGCCTAATTTATAAGGACTTGGAGAAACTATGAAATGGAAATTGTTAAAAGATCAGTGTGAAAAAAAAAAGCTTGCCAAAGATCAAGAAATAGAAGAAACCAATGATGTCACAGCAGAAGATAAAAATTGCCACAAACAGAAGAAAAGTGAAAACCAAAGATATCAAGCAAGAATTTAACAAAGAATTTCAGAGAGCTGATAGAAGAGACAAGAAACAATATTATACAATGCTCAAAAATGGAAACAGTGATAGAAAAATAAGACAAGCCTGTCAAAAGATTTATGAACTTAAAAGTAAGCTCCCACCTTGAAACAGTATGCTAAAGGATACTGATAAACAGATATTAACAGATTCAAGAAAGATCAGACAAGATGGAAGGAGAATACTGACATTCTGAATAGTAGAGATGTCAACATTCAAGATATCTTACAAGACATTTCTTAGGAATCTCTAGTAGTAGATGTTGAACTCCCATCAACATTCTTGGTATTACCAAATTTGATAGCTATAGGAACTGATAGAATATCTATAGAAATGTGGCAGGTAATAAAAGAGGAAGCAGTAAAGTTTCTAATCAAGTTATGCCAACAAACCAAGAATGAACCAGCAGTTGACAGATTGGAAATGATTATTCTATATATATATATATAAAAGACTTAAAGTATTGTATGCAAATTAATATTCTTAATTTCACACACTAGCACAATCATGCACAGGATCATCCAATGCAGATTAGAGCACTACATGGAAAGGAAGATGCCAAATGTGCCAGCTGGTTTTAGAAAACACCATGGAGCAAAAGACATTATTGATGATGCATGGTGAATAATTAAGAAAGCAACAGATTACCAAAGCCAAGTCAATACATGCTTCATTGGCTGCAGAAAGGCCTTAATGATGTTATCCATGTCAATAGCAAGCAAGAATCCCAGAAATTCTCAGTATCCTCATATTAAAAGTATACAAAGTTTATTCTATAGGATGCCACAGAATAAACAGAACATAGAAAATAGAATGGTTCCAAATTTGCAAAGGACTGAGACAAGGTTGAATATATTCTCCTTGTTTATTCCACCTGTATGCTAAATATATATTGAGGGCTGCAAGATTAGAAGACGGGTGTGGTTTAAAATTGGAAGAAGAAATATTTATTTATTTATTTATTCATTTATTCATTTATTCATTTATTTATTAAATCTGTATACCACCTAACTTCTAGGGACACCAATACTTTGCACTATGCTATGCTATGATACTACTCTGATAGCTGAAAACACAAGTGATCTGCAAAATCTAGTAATGAAGTCAAGGAACACAAGGTAAACATTTAATATAAAGATTAAATAAGTAAGATTAAATGTAAAGGAGATCAAACTCATGACAGGAAGAACAACAGCCACCCTTAGAATTGACAGTAAAGTTCCTAAAGTGGTAGATAGCTTTGACCTTTTAGGATCAATTTCAATAGTAAAGGAAACAGCAATAAAAGAATATGGCATACATTGTGGAGTAACAATCAAGGCCTTGGAAAATATATTCAAAAGCCATAACACATCTATACTTACAAAGATCAAAACTGAGTAGGCATTAGTCTTCCTTGTGGGATATAGAAGGAAAAACAGAGCTTGTACTTTATTTTGTATTGGTTCTTATTTTTGTTCTTAAAACTCAATAAAATATATATAAATCTAAAAGAAAAGTTAAATAATGATACCTTTGAACTTTAGTACAAAGAGTACTATGGATAGCTAAAAAAATAAACAAATGGAATGTAGAACAAATCCCTCCACAGGTCTGACCTAAGACACAGATGAGTTTTGCATTTTGGACACAGGTGAAGACCCAGTCCCATTAAGTCCATAATGCTGAGAAAGATGGAAGAAAAGAAAATGATTAATAGCAAACTGGATCCACTCAGTTATAGCAACAACAGATGCTTTCCAGAGAAGAAAACACAAATACAAATATTTCACTTATAGGTAGGTTGCGAAGTATTAAAAGGATGTGTTGCAAACAGGGTAATCTACAGATTAAGGACAGGTAACTATTTTGTAGTCAAGCCCATGATGTAGTATTGTATTTTTGGCAGTTCCCCTCCATTTGGAAAGCCTAACTTTTAAAAAAGATTTTAGACAAAAGCATTAAGGCCTGAAACTCATATGAATAATGTGCTATCCAAAATTGAATATATATACTCAGCCTTGGCTCAGCAGATGTTTTATCAGAACATAAAATGCTCTTAAGAGAAACAGATCTGGACCAATAGCAGCTACATATCTTGCTAGTTGTTAATACATGGCTGATGAACTAGTTCCAAATATCAGTCAAAGTGATGCTGCTTATTTATGTTTAAAGATCTAAATCGGTTTCTCTATCTCTCCTTCCTCCTCACCCTGTACTTGGAAATGATATAGTTAAAACTTATAGTTAAACTTCCTTTAAATGTGCTGAGATCTCAGTATTTTTTGGGGGGGGGAGGGGGGGAGAAATCTTGCATGAACCTATCCAAAGAATGAAAACATCCTGAATGATTTCCTATCTTCTCACCTTGCAAGTCAACAGAAGAGAGGTCAAATTTGGGGGTCAAAATTGAAAGGATGAACTCAGATATAAGTATATAAGACTACTACCTCCATATTTTGAACAAGTAATCTCTTTTGAGTAGATTACTGCAGTGCACTCTATGTGGGGCTACTCTTGAAAACTGTCCATAAATTGCAACTGGTTCTGAATGTCACAGGTTGATTATTCAGTGGAAAAGCTACACATGACCTCATAACAACAATTGTGAAAATGCTGCAAAGGGTTTCTTGAGAGCTACTGTGCCCAATTTAAGGCAATAACAACAGTCTACAAAGCCTTACAGGTATTTAAAAGACTGTCTTCCCAATACTATTAATTCACACATTAAAATTAGCTTGGGGCAACTGCTTAGGATTTCATCTGTAAGTGTGGAGGCCAGATAGGTCTTTCTGATTAACAGTATTCTAATTATGGTACTCTTTAAGCCTTAAAGACATGATTACTTACTCTGGACCAATCTGCCTTCATTTTGTCTATTCTTTTTCTTTTCTATTTTTTTAACTGATGTTTGTTTATTTGGGGCATTTATTGTTTATAAGTGTTATAGTTTTACTGTTCTCTTGTAAATGATTCTTCCTGGAGAAAAATAAATGCAACTCCCCCACCCAATAATGTATAAATCAGTGATGGGCAGTGGCATTTTCTGCTGCTTGATACTTTGTCATGATTGTGCTCAGAAAAAGGATCTGCAAAAGAAAATGGCTGAGATGTTGTTCTGGTCCTGATGCCAGTTAGACCCAACTATGGTCATTTTTCCTTGTTTTGTCCTTCTAGCAAAATAACTGCAATGTCTCCTACAAATGCAGCAATTCCCCCCCACCCCCCAAAAAAAGAGTAGTTTTGGATTCAACCTTAAAGCTGAGGAGGACTGTAAAAGCCTTGCCCTGTTGTGCCATTGCTTTATGCTGGGATCTCTCTAGGGAATCTTGCCTGATGCTGTACAAGATGCCCTTTGCACACTGGGCAAACAAATCCTTTTAAAAGAAATATTTGTTGTCATTCAAAAGATTTGTTTCTTTTGGCAACTGATTTTTTGAATCATGTGTGTGTGTGTGTGTGTGTGTGTCTGTGTCTGTGTGTGTGCTATTTTGACTGGTCCTGCTCAGCCAGCTAAGACTTTTGAAATGCCTATTACTGTTCTTTCAATCAGTTTTCTTCTTCTTCTTCTAGATGTAATTAATTGCCTAAGTTACCTTGTCATTATAAAACTCACTCTGAAAATTTCCCAGAGCAAAAAGCAAAGATTCTTTCTGTCTTATACAGAAATCATAAATAGGCTTACCCACTTAGGATTGTTTCTGGAAGGAAACATGTCCTGGCCTGTCAATTGAAATCTCAGGGGACATGGCTTGATGGAAAAGGAATAGAAGAACCTTGCCTTACTCAAGAGTTGAATTCTTATGAGGGGTTATTAGGTCCAAATATGCCAAAAATGGCTTATGGCCTAGAGAAGCATACACCATAGTAAACAGTATGGTGCGTTGGTTTGACATATTGCAGATGGAAGGACCCAAACTGTTGCGTCCTTTCTTCCAAATGGTTTGTCAGAGCAAAAGGATAGGAGAAAATATAATATTTTCATAGGTTACAGTTCTTAAACAGGATTCCCGTTTATCTTTAACAAATGCCATTCTTTTCAGCACAACTGGTGTTTTTTTATTATTATTATTTCAGAAGTAGATGTTCTGACTTTTTATCCCTGCAAGACGTGTGGCTACTTTTGCTTACATTTGCTCAAGCGTTTCTCTGGAAATTGATCCAAGGTATGAGCATGTTTCCTAAGGTGTTCTTTCTCCCTGGTCATTCCTCCCGCATTTGATGTCCTCACCCCGCAGAATAAATAGAAAAAAAAAACTATACATAAGCATCTTTCTGCCCCCCCCGCCCCCCTCTCATTTTACTGGACAAACCCTGGCTGGCTGGCTGGCGAAGCCGTTGATTCATTCCATTTCAGCGGCCAAGGACTCTGCTCGGAAAGGCTTAAAGCCAGGATGCTGGGCGAGATCGCCCTTTACCGCCGCCCGCCCACGACCCAACGCGCGAGGGTCTCCTAGCCGGGATGAGGAAAGGGGAGGGCGAGGAGAAGGCTGTGGCTCCGCGAGAATCAAACAGACAGGCGGCGGCGGCCAATCAGCGCCGCTTTCCCGAGCTGCGGAAAGCAAAAGCGACCCAGCAGCTTAGGAGCTTTTGCTTTGGAGGTAACCCAGAGCTTGGACTCCTGTGCGCCTCTCGGTCGCGCTCTCCCCGGACTGGGAGCAGCTGCGCACAGGGGGATACAAGTCTCCTTCTCTTTCCTCGCCCCTCCGTTTCTCTCTTTTCCCTTCGCTTCTCTTATAGCCCTTAAAGTTCCCTGTCACCAGTTAGGGCACGCCAGCTAAGGTAAGGCTTTGAAATGAAACGACCCTTCCCCCCTTTCAACCCCCCAAATCTATCGATGCATTTCTTCCCGCGGTGGGGCAAAATGGGAGGCTGCCGTTTTAACACAGTCCTTGCAATGCCAGAGAGCAGCTTTTTTTTTGGGGGGGGGAGCTTGGGGCTTCGGCGACTTGAAATTTTGGCATAGCCGTGGTGTGTCTCCCTTCTCCTCCCCTTTCCTCTTCCTCTCTTGCCTTTTCGCCCGACAGCTGCTGAGAGCCTTACCCTGGTCTCGCGACTTCCCTCGGTTGCGGTGGTTTTGCTGAACCCAGAACGTTTTTAGTGCCAGCTTACCGGTAAAAAAAAACAAAAACAAAAAAGAGGAATAGGAAGGGGAACATCCTCGCCCGAGTGCTGGGTTGCGCGTGCATGCATTTTTGCCTTCCCCCCCCCCTCACACATACATGAATGTCAGCGGCAAATCTTGGTGTCGCTCCTCATCCTGGGGAGGGGGGTCGTAGACCCCATGAAGTGGGGATCTCAGTCAGATCCGATAAAGGATAAGAGGACGCAGGTGTGGAGTTGCCGCTAGGAAAGCGGCGGTTTGCCGGTCCGTGCGTGGAAACGCAGCCTCCTTGAGTCCCCATTGATCTTGGTTTGCGGGTGCTGAGTCCCCCCCCCTCGCGCGCGCCCTTAAAAAAATGCAGCGAAGGGGGATGGCTGCCGGGAGCGCCTTCTTCCTTCCAAACTTTCTATGCCTTTTACTTCTCCCGGACAGAGAAGGGCATTGGGAAGGAAATGGGATGCAGTTAGAAGCCTGCCCCATTTTTGCCACAGGAAAAAAGATGATACGTGCCAAGACTGGGAGGGGGAACTGTGAGGGGTTGGCGGAAATAATCTGAAGGCTCCGAAGAGAGACACAGAGGCAAGCAAGGATGTCCGACAATCTTTTTGCTCCTGATACCCGTCTCAGTTGAGTGTTTTGGCCTGGAAAAGGGGCCAGCTGTGCTCTTTCTAAATCGCCAGTCTTAAAGAAGCACCATACATACTGGAAGGATTTTTATATGTGCATAAAATTTCAATTTATTCCACACATGAAGGTGTTGAAGGGGAATTTGCAATGAACAGCAACAGAGTACTATGTTCATTTTCCTAATTTGTATGTGAAGTCATAAAGTGGTGATGTTCTCAGGTGGTGATATAACCAATTATATTTCTTCCCCTGCATTTCAAAGAAAGCCAAATGATTACAGTTTAATGAAGAATGGACTGGCTAACTAAATTTAAATATATTCAAGCTAACTAAATTTAAATATATTTAAGTTCCACTGAGTTCAGTGAATAACATTCAGGCATCTACTTTTCTTTTTCTAAGTATTGGAAGGTAACAGGGCTTAACCTTGCTGGATTGTATCTTCAAATTAAAAATGATTGCTAGGGAATAAATTTTCTTTAATTTTAATAAAGTTACTGTCTTAAATTCAGTTACTAGTCAGAGCCCTGTACAAGGTGTAAACATAATTGAATAGAGATTCTATTCACTTTTAGGAAGCTTTTGCTATATATTTAGAAATCTGTCTCAAGGCTGGATCTATCAGCACTGTGTTGCCACAATCTGTCTAGATTCCTTCCCTCCCTCTTTACAAGAGATATGGGAAGTGATTGCTAATAATAATGTTGCAGGTATAGATTTTACTCTGTTGGTGATACTCAGTGCCATTTCCTCAATATTCTTCTTCCTGTTTGTCACCTATATATCTATACAACTGTGCCAGTATAAGTTCTATTTAGTATATTAGTTCTGGCATTAAAGGTCCTGGCAAGATTTTTCTTGGAGGTGTAAGCCATTGCATAGTTACCTGGAACAAAGTTGCACTGAAGTCAGTTAGATTTGCTTAGAAGTAAAAAAAAAAAATGTATTGTGTGATGAAGCAAGATGCAATAAGAACCTGATTATCTCTTTTATTTGAACTTGAAAATATGAGTACTGCCAACACACACACACACATACACACCACACAAATATGAATCCTTTTCACAGGTGGTCATTCTTTTTTTTTATTTTGAAAGCCCATTAATTTTCTATAGTTGTAATAAATTATTAATAATGTTTGTAAACATAATGTCTGTGTGCATGGGAAAATATTTTAAATATTTAGTTTTGTTGTAAACTTTTCAGTTTCCTTCCATAAAGATCTGGCAAAGTTGGTAGACTTGAATATCATTGTTTTTTTGTTTTTTTTTTAGTAATGATAATGGTGGATATCTTAAGACCACAAAATGATCTTTCATTACATTAATATTTGGTTTAACATCAGACCTTGAATCATTTTGTTTTGCTATTTTTTAAAATTATTTCTACCCAACCTTTTGTCTGTATACTTTCAGGAGGACTAACAGTGTAAAATATTGTTTAAAATATCCTTTAAAAAAATAAAAAGGACATACAGCAATACCATCAGCATGATATCATCAAGCTACATACTCCTAAAACCTTTCAATTGCTCATTGTATTTCCAAAGGCAGGTATTAAGCAAACCAGTATTCTAAAATTGGGTGCCATGACTAAAAAGGTCTCCGCTGTTGTGTATCACTGGAGAATAAGAGCCAGTAGATAAATGGAGTGGCTGGTTGAATTCAGAAGGTTATACTTGAGTGAACTTTCACTTAGATGGAAGTTAAGATATAATTGTGGAATTGTCTTCTCCATGTTTGTTGAACAAATGACTATTTTCAGCTCTTAGATGATTAACACTTTGTAAAGATGACATGAAACTTACTATTGGTGATTGGAATTGTCAAAAATGTTGATGTAAATCATTACATTGTTGAAGATGAATCAAAAAGATGGTGTAAGTACGGTGAATAACTGAATAAACTTACACAAATGTTACTTTACAACGCACAAAACTTTAGGAAAATCAGAAAAGATTCCTACTTTTACTTCATTAATAATAAAGTGCAGTATCTGCTTATATTAATAAATTGTAATGGGGAATACATAAAGGTTCACTTATCTATTTAATCACATTTGTATAGCTACCCATCACACATAGTGACTGGGTGGTATGCATAATAATGAAGTATGTAAAATTGTTAAAAAATAACCAATTTGGACTAAAATTAAAAACAAGATAAAAGATAAAAATGGCAAAAAAAGGAGTGCCTTCCATTAACCGTCATTCAGTCATCTCACATTTTGCAAGTTAAGATTTGTATGCTTATCTGGGTTGCTGTGAAATCAGAGAGGCAAGCAAATAAGTCAACTGCACAATTATATACATTACGGTAGGAATCTTAAACTGAGATGTAGTCTCTCTACCACTTCTAGGTTTTAATTCATTTCATCGAGGTATGTGAGAAGATGATCTCAATTTAGAAGTGAAAGAGGTTGGAAAAAAATCTCTTCAAACTCCATATTCAGTGGCTCGTTGATTAAGTCATTGTATATTGCTTTTGAATATTAAACAGAGATAAGTTAATTGGATATCACTGAGTTGAGTTGGACTGGTGGTTGACAATTTGAACAAATCCTATGTATGTCAACCTGCTCCTAATGACATTTTTCCAAGGATGTTCATTTGGTTTCCTTAATCCAATTATTTCATCCATTGTCTTCCCCTTTTACTTTTCACAACCTTGCCAAGCACTGTCATTCATTCATTCATTCATTCATTTTATCCAAAATATATGAGTGTTTGCTTGCACTAAGGAAAGTTAGCTTGTTGATCATAGTCACTGTGGCTTCATCAAGGTGGTAGGAGATTCCCATTTTAATTATTGGGAAAGATCGCTCATCCCAAGAGTTTAATGGAAAGAGGTGAGCATTGAGAAGAGAGAGTAGAACCCACCCTAATGCATTCATATATGCATATACAGTATGTGTGTATATAAATGTGAGGTTCAGGTAGTTGTTAGGCTGAGTAAATAGTTTTGTAGCATTATAAATAGTTTTGTAGTATTCATTTAATAAATGAATAGTTTGTTTTAGTATTCAGTAAATAAAGTTTTATAGTATTAATTTCAGTGACACATATACAGAGCATTTGAAAACACCCTTTGCTTGCATTCCTTTCATTAGAGTAATTGAGGGCCCTTTTGTTGTTCTTATCTCCATGTGTGGGGGAGAAAATTCATTGTTATTCCGTTTGGATTACCCAGGTTTTTTTGGATTTTATTTTATTTTATTGTATAAGTGAAATCACTCAAGAGTTGTTGGAATTGGGTTCCTAGAAAATTTAAATATAAATAAAGTTGTCACAGCTGTTTCAACTGATCCAGAAGTAAACCAGCCAAGCTCTGTAACATTGCTGACCTTGTAGGAACACCATGTTTTGAAACTACATTCAGTTTGATGCATAATCCTCATGTGGAAACGTTCTTGGTCTGGCAATTCAGATGAGTTACTGAAAATGAGTGCTGAACAAAGTGAGATATGGCTAATCATAGTATCTGTCAAGTAAGCCTGGCTAAAAATAAGGGGAAAAAAAACCCCAATCATTCTCCAGATCTGTGATTGATTGATTGATTGCTGGATTCTATGATTTGTATACCACACATTTCAAAGTGATTGTTGATGGTGTTTGGAATTGTGGCCTGTCTGGTCAGCAAGTGTGGAAGAGTTATTTTTTTTCTAAAATAAATGCCCATTTTCTTTTAATGCTAAACTATTTTAAGAAGTGGGTAGCGGTGTTTTTTTTTTACTTTTTGGGTAGAAGTGAAAAATATGTCCTTGCTTATACAGTATGTGTGTGATCAAGCATATATAGGTAAGTATGAGGAATTCTAATATACACTGAAAATACTTTTCATAGATTGTTCCATGGCAAGAGAAAATTTGCTTGACTGGAATACAACATTTTTAAACATTGATATATAGCATTAGCAACTCGAATTACTGACTCTTCCAAGTATAAAACCATAACTTACGAGGAGAAAAATAAATTTCAAGCATGTGAGCAGCTCTACAGCAAGATACATATTGGCCAGCTTATTCAACAGAAACATTTATAGTCATGAGAGAA